ATATATATATATATATATTAGTGGCTATAACAAACTAACAAGGACTTTGAAATATTGACAAATATTACAACTGCTAGTTCGTTTTTTGGGGGTTCTTGAAGCTGCTAACAATAAACTAGAAGATTGGCAAGATCATGGCAAATGCCCTGGTGGTGAATGGCGCACAGGTATAATAAATAAAATTAAAGTTATACACCACAAACCTCAAAAATATTTTTTATCTTACTTACCTGTAGTTTTTGCTACGAGCTGAAAAACAGTAATAGCAGCCCGTCTTTTCAGAAAAAACTGAATAATCCAGAAACTTCACTGTGAATTTAATTTCATCCCAATAATGTTCACATGAAGTGGACAGATATCATTACAGTATATATGTCTTGAAGATATAATAATTGTAAAGTAGGTTTTATAGATACAGATGGGAAAACATACATTTCAAAATCCCAGTATAGTAAAAAATGTGTAACAGTATTCAAGCTGTTATGTTGTTATAGTTTTATTGTTGCATCACTTTCTACTGCATCCAACGTCAGACATGGAAGAGCACCCTCTGGAGTACAACGTTGCAGTTACAACCATGTAGAAATACAATATAACAAAGAACTGCTCTTCACAGTTGTGTCCATGACACATACACAATAATTTATTGGGCTCAGTTGAAGAAATGCATATCTTCCAACAATCTATCACCAGTGTATTCTGTTCATTCCAGTTAAATTAAAAGTTTCTTGAGGGACTCAATTTTAATGGTGACTGAAGCTGGCTTTCTAAGGAGCAACATGGCCCTCATGTGGCCATCAGGCTCATTTTGTCTGCCAGCTATCAGAATCAGACAGATGTGTCTGGGCAGAGTAAGGTGCACCTCCTACAGCAGAGGTGAGACTGAAGACTCTCCTTTACGTTTCACAGAGAGAGGACAAAGTCTCTTGTTCACTGCACCTGAGCAAAGAAGCAACTGGCCAAAATGGAAGTGACATGACATTTTTCCAGTAAATATTGTGTTTTAAGTACCCACAAAATAATCACCAGTAAGGGAGGGGGGAGGGTCTTGTTTAAAAAAAGAATTAAAGATTTGCCTCAACAGACATCTGAAGCAATGGAAATGGAAACTCGATTAACAACCAAATCCTATTCACACCAGCCAACCTGGAACAAGATAATTACTAATCTGTAAATTAATGATTGAGTTTCTAATTCTGGGCACCCAGTCTCTCATCCTGATATAAAGCACACACATGACACACATACATGTGGATGAGAAGGATGACCTTGACCACCATCTGCCCATCGGGCCTCCTGGTAGCTCTGAAGGATATTATAAGAGGAGGTTATGCATATGGGATCAAAGTATGAGCTGTTACACTGGGACTGTGGCTCTAAAAAGCGGTGACCTCCATAAATGTTAATCATCCAAATGACTGAAATGACCTCACATTAGTTTGTCCTTCCAGTATTAGCTTGCACCAATGACATCTTAGTTAAGTACATTTGGCTGAAGTTGCAGACATATTTCACGTGACTGAAATAAGAACCATACAGCTTCTATTAGATTTTCTGTGTCTTGTGTCTTTAAGCTGAAAAGATCAACTTCCTACACATTCACCTTTCACAGATTGTGAGATGTAGCATGACTTTGTGAGTCTTGAGGAAGCCTGACAGGTATATTTCCCTTCTTTTTTATATATATTTCTTCTTTTCTGTCCCCAATTTAAAATGAACTAATTCCCTGTGCTGTGAGGTCTCTGATACATAAAGGTTTGTGCGTTCTAATGATCCCATCCTCAGCCACACTCACGTGCTCTGTGTTTGTAACCAGTTGAATCAGCCCTCAGAAAACATACGACACCCACCACTACAGCATGTTTACTAATGTTAATGTTTACTAATATTTTTTCTTTCTTCATAAAAAATACAAACCAAATGACAGCATCAACAGAAAGAGAACACGTGAAAATCAGGTAAACTTACATAAATATATGCATGTACTAAAGTCTTTCTATACAGACTTTTTAAGACAACAGTGAAAATAAATAGCATGTGACAACTACAAACAGTATACAAACCTGAGACTACAGTGGGGCTGTGCTGGTACATATTTCTTTACATACAGTACCTCTTGTACATTAAAACCTGAAGGTATAGAAAAAAGCTACAGTAGTAAGTTCAAACTATTGTGACACATGTTAGAATACCAACTAAATAAACACATTTGCTTCAAAGTATTGAGCAAATAACATCACTGTACTCGTGGAATGTATAAAGTATCCCAAATAAAGTTTCCCAGGGTACATTTTCTCCTCATGGTCCCAGACGTGCGTGAGGTGATCTGGAGAGGAAAGACAAATATAACCATTTGAGTAACTGTAAAAAACATAAAAAATGTTGTTGAATGTTTGATTGAGATTTGCTTAACTTACTAAAATATTGTACTCGGAATTATTTAAAGAATGAGTTATGTCTTTCTTAATGACTGGTGCATCAGTCAATTAATCAATGTGTGCCCAGAAAATGAAACCAGAAATCCATTAACACTTTAATCAATCATTTGTGCTATGAATTACATACTGGACAGATGAATAAATGCACAGATTAAGTAAAGTTAATTATAACTCAAAATGACTTTTATAAACGCGGACTTATTGAATGAAAGTTGGTTTACAGAATTTGTACAGGCGATTGCATATGCCTATACCATCAAATGGAATTGAATTCGCTCTATTTCCCTACTCACATGTAAAAAAGTAAGGCACTGCTCTCTCAGCTTCCATCAGGTGTTCTGCTCTTGCTTTGTCCACCAGATGGCAGCGTAGCACCAGAGGACCGAGCTGGGGAGAGATGGGAGTTGGAGTTCTTCGACGTGAAGCTGGCAGAACTCCACTCTGACCACCCTGATGGGACCTCTTCTAGGTTATAAGAGAGCAGGGCTTCTTCATTCTCATCCAAAGGAAACGCTCGTGGCTCCCAGGGTGTCTGAGGCTGCCGGAGGACAGAGGACACATAAGGTAATTGAGCAAATCTACAAGTACATATCGGGCATGTTTAAGGGTTTAGTATGTATCACTATACGATCACTTTCTACTGTACGGACACAACGGTGGAGAATGCAACACATTAATCAACAAATCAAGTAAACATAATTTCCACCACACTTACATTTGCTAAAAATTGCATCTGCCTCATACAGGCTGTGCAACACACATTAAATTGTGAAATAATAACCCTGATAATTGCTCTTCCCATGTCGGTCCCTTCATTGAATTTAGATTTTGAATGTTGTATCATAGGTGGGGCAAAAAAAAAAAAAAAAATCAAAGGCTGAGCTTTAATCAGGGTTTGTATGGGTGCTGGAGTGCATGAGAAGTGCAAAGCCGCGAGGTAGGTGATATTTGTGGTGTGGAGAAGGTTGATTAGGACAATCTGGTTCAGTAGCAGCTCATTCCTTCTCCAATCAAAGCAAAGTGGTACAGAGCAATCATGCATCTGGAGCAGAGTGGAGACAAGTATCTGTGTAGGCTCTCAAGCATCCATTGACGCTTTGAAGCCGACACGATATGACTGGGAGAGAATATTGATTAGACTGCAACCCATTTTTGCCACTTTATACTCAACCTCCCTCTTCTGAAATACAAATAACGCAGCCTTATCTTTGACTGGAATGTTTCAGAAAACATCTTTTAGGGGTTAAAGTGAGAAATTACCATCTATAAGCTTCTCAATCTCCTCTTTACAGTGACTTTAAGGAAAGAAAAGGCATGTTACTATACTTAGTAACATGCTGTAAAAGCCAATAGAAAATTGATGTGTATTACTCAGGACGAGCTCCCTCCTATGGCACCTGGATCATCATACTCTGATACTTAGAGTCCGTTTGGGGGGACTTTGGGGGGGGGCTTCAGCTGTGGTGCTTTTGATCTTACCAGCCACTCCTCTGAGCTTTGCTGTTCATC